CTTCTCCATTGGACAGCGGATTGCGGATTTTAGTCTCTGGGCTGTCCTCAAGGTGATGCTTTTCATCCTGCTGCCCAAATTGATGAAGGTATGCGCTGATCTGACTTTATTGTAGATATCTCACTGATCCCTCTTCAATGCCAGGCCCTTCGGGTATCCGTGATGGACATGAACAATGTGGACTACTTCAAGAAGCTGGTGTTTGGTGCTATACAGTACCGTAAGGAGCACAACATCATACGCCCCGACATGATTCAGCAGCTGATGGAGGCGCAGCGCCTGTTCAGAGCGGAACAGGAGGCATCGCAGGAGACGACCACGCAGGAGGATCGTGCCGAGTTCAACGATGAGGATCTGCTGGCCCAGTGCCTGCTCTTCTTCTCCGCTGGTTTCGACACGGTGGCCACTTGCCTGAGCTTCACCAGCCACGAGCTGTTGATGAATCCCGAGGCGCAGGACAAGCTGTATGAGGAGATCATGGCAACGGAGGAGCAGCTGGGGGGCAAGCCCCTGGACTACGACACTCTCATGGGCATGAAGTACATGGACTGTGTGGTCTCCGAGTCCCTGAGGATGTGGCCACCGGCATTCGTCCTGGATCGCATGTGCGGCTCGGACTTCGAGCTACGCGACGAGGAGGGAAAAGTCGTGCTGACCCTCAAGAAGGACGAGCTCATCAACATTCCCGTCATTGCCCTGCACCACGACCCGGACAACTTCCCTCAACCCGACGAATTCCGCCCGGAGCGCTTTGACGATGACCACAAGCACGAGATCAAGCCGTTCACCTACCTGCCCTTCGGCATCGGCCAGCGCAGCTGCATCGGCAATCGCATGGCCCTGATGGAGGTCAAGGCCCTGCTATATGGCCTGGTCCGTCGCTTCCGACTGGAGCCTGCTGAACGCACCACGACGGACATGATGGGGAACATTGCCGGCTTCCGCATGATGCCCCGGGAATTGTTTTGGTGCAAGTTCGTGGCCAGGGTGGATGGAGAGGCAAAAGTCCAGGAGTAGTAATTAATGAATGGCCCCAAATGGGCATGCAAGGGGGCCCACTGCCCTTTTTGACTTATAAATAATAATACAATTGAAAAACACAAAAAAACGAATAAAATACCCTGGCAAAGGGTAGTGCTTGAAGTGCAGAAGAGGGTTGTACAAAGAAGAAGAACGATGAGTCCACAAGGGTATGTGAGGATTCGGCTTTCCGCCCTTCTTTCCTGTTCGCTTTGTCGTTGACAAAGTTGACAAATTTGTCGCGGCAATGCTTCACTTTCCACATTTTTCGGTTTGTTTTATGTTGCTCCTTTGGAGGAACGTGTCGCTGTCCGAGATTCAAAGTCTGGGGCGGGCGATGCGCCCCGTCATAATACTGTCAGGGCGTGACGGGGTCCCCAGCAACATCAGCAGCAACGACAGCAACGACAGCAACAAGAGATGCGGCATGGGATGCGGTCGTACCGCAAACAACAAAAGCAGCACAAAGAGAGAGAGAGAGAGAGAGAGAGCCAGTAAAGTCATGTGAGTGTCGTGCCACGCCTTGTTTATGGGTGGAGGAGAGCATAGGTCAGAGGGAAGCGGCAACATCAGCAGAACAAACACACACGACACCCACCCACGTACGTACACATAGGACATTAAGGATTATTTATTGGGAGTTATTTTTCAGGCGGCATTAAATTTTTTGCCACAGTATGAATTATATTACACTTGTGTCATAAACTGTACCGTGAAAAGAGAGAGTGGGGTGGCGAAAGTAGCGACGGAGACTGACAAGCATTCTTCACCTCACGCTCCCCCGCCATTGGCACGCCATCGATTGACTCGGAAAAGTATGCTGTAAAGCAGGGCAAGATAATTAAGCCCAATCTTTGCTCAATGGTCGTTCCTCCCGTGTAGGCTAACTGGAGGCTCGAGGTCCATGTCGTTGTTTGGGGAGTTTATAAGCGATAGGGCGAAATAAAGCTAGATAATTTCGCCAGACAATTGTGATCCATCAAATATTGTCGTAGTTCTCGCCAATGTGTTTTTCTATATTCTTCTGTGAACGCATTGAATGGCGGAAGAGAGGACTAGGGATCATAAACCAAGCAGCAGTTCTCTGCTTGCCAAGATCCTTTTCATATCCCCATCAAATTTAATTGATGAAGTTTCTGTCTGGTCCCTCCATCCTTTGTATGTGACCCCCCTGGGCCTGTGACGCTCATTTGACGACCCTGGAGCTTGGGTCAAATCCTGGACACGCCTATGGTCATTAAGCTGGCACCCGAAAGCAATAAAAAAGCAAAGGCAATTACCAGATATGGCCGTTGAGTACACCCTCACACTCACACACACACACACAAGCAATTATTCACACAAAGTAACACACGTAATTAGTTGCATACAACCGTGGGGCAGGGGTAGGGGCCAGGGAAGGGGAAGGGGCAGGGTGAATACTTTCAGCGCGGCTAGAATTAGTTGAATGTTTTTTTATTGGCCACCTTGTTGTTTCTGGGAGATTGAGTCGCATGTGGGCGGGCGGTAGTGGGTAGTAACCTGCAACAAAGCTGCAGGCAATCCTTAGCATACTAAAGCAGGAGGCGAAAGATGAGTGTAAGTGTGTGTGTGTAAGTCTACCACAATATTTGCTCAAAAATAAGGCAAAGGGAAAGGCAAAAGTAAGGGCAACGGCAGTGTCAGTGGCAACGGTAAAGTGGAATTAAAGCGAAAACCGAAAAGTTTCGGAGATGCTGCCGGGGATAACTAAGCAAACGTTTTGCGGTTCTTTCCCCGCACCGCTCGTTTTATGTGGAAACTTTTTGAGCTTCCCAGGCCGCCGACGCGCCGACGGGCATTTCTCTGGCAGCTTCAAGCTTTTGTCTGTATTTGAATGTTGCCCTGTCCTGTCATCGCTGTGCGTGTGTGTGTAATCTTGAAATGCCAGCGTAAACATCATAAACTGTGGCGACACACACACACCCACACCCACGCACACGCACCGAGGCACAGAAAGTTCCGTTTCTATTTCTATTTTACTTTGTTTTGCTTTGTTCACAGAAACCTTATCAATCAATTCAGCGCACACTCTCCCACACACACAAACACACAAAGAGAGAGTGAGAGAGAGAATGAGGGGTGAGGTTGAGGGATATATCTGGGATATAGAGCAGAGGTCATAAAGAAAGTTTGGCGCCACGACCGCCAGACGCCTGCAGAAGCATTACATTCTCTCATTCTGTCCCGACTAGGCGACGACCGTCGGCAGACACAAAAAACAACGAACAGAGGAATAAAATAAAAATGTGAAATGTGGCCAAGGAGCAGATGAGAATGGAGTGGGTGGATAGGGAGAGTGCAGAGATATAGGAAGAGTAGGAGCAATGACGGCGATACAATGATAATGCCAAGAACAATAACAAGCTACGAACAAGGCGAAGGCGAAGACGGAGAAGCAGTCGAAGGCGACGGCGAAGACTTCTGTCCTGGGAACAGACGGCGGAGCAGTCGAAAGGCGAAGGAGCAGCAGAAGTAAACGGCAATGCCGAAGCAGCAACCAAAAGAAAAAGCACAAGGACAATTCTGAGCATTAACAATTTGGCAAACTGTCGCACTGGAGTGTTCCCTTTTCCCTTCTCTCGCTGGCACCAACACCCACCGCTGCTGCTGCCGCTGCTGCTGCCGCTGCTGCTGCGATGCGTTTTGCGATAAGCACGAAGCGATAACATTTAGAGCGTATGTGTGTGCGTGTGTGTATGACAAGTGTTCTGTTCTCCATGGCTCCCCATAGAGGGGAGCGTCTAATAGAGATGGGAGCGTGACATGTTCTAGGCGATGAAATTCGACTCGAAACATCAATTTAAAGGCCAAATACATAGAAATGGTAATGCAGGAAAGAGATTTGATTATCATTATTATCTATGAGCCTATAAATCAGATACGATATTTGTATAATGATTAAGCTAAACGAGTATGATCGGGATGGAGACACCAGCTCATATTGAATCCAATTAAATGGCATGTCATTGTTCCATTCCATTTCCCCCAACCACTTGAGCATTTTTACAGTTGTTCCCGCATTTTGGTCTGCTCCTTTTCTACTTATCCTGAGATACGTATATTGTATATAAATAAGAGGAGCACGTCTTCCCGTCTGCGCCCGGAGAACGTTGTTAACGTCTCTTGAATTCGGTGTAAGCAAGTTTTCCCCCATAAGGAAACACACAGAAAGCACAAAAACGAGAAAGAAAAGCATAATTTGAAGAGTGCTCGAAGGGAAAGTTTCTTGTGTCGTTGGCAAGTTTGCGAGGACAAGTTGCAAGTTTGCCATCTCGCCTAAAGCCCAACCAACCGCCGACATAATGCTGCCTCATGCCGTATGCACCTGCATCCGGCTCCCACCGTCCGTATGTACGATTATAGGTATGATTTGTATGTGTGATTTGAGAGCGAATGCAATTGCCTGTGAACAGAAAACAAAACCACAAAGTACCCCGCAAAAGTGTGCTACGAGCATCAAGAGATTCTCCCATCTGCTGACGAGTATTTATTCCCCCGCGCGTGAAATTTAATTAGCGAAGCGACGACCATTCTAGATATTCAGTGCGGAATTAACAGAGGGAAACAGCTTGGAATGCGGCTCCGACCCCACTTCCTGCGAAGAGCAGAGCTTGGCTGAAAGGAATCTCGAGTCCCAGAAATAGCTGACATCAGCATTACATCCGCTCCGCTCTGCGCTCTGCGCTCTGCTCGCTCGAAACAATGCCAACTGTCCAAATGCCTTGGAGTTGCTCTTCCGCTCTTCCGCTCTCCCACTCGCTTTCCCTTCCTGTTTTGCTCCTCCAACAGCTGACGCCCTGTCTCTGTCTTATCCCTAACATCTCACCTAACCTTTAATGAGGCAAGTAGTAGCTGGCTGGCGGCAGGTGAGAGAATTCTGCCGAAGGGGAGAAGTGCAGAAATGAAAGGAAAGGAAAGGCAAAGAAAGGGAAGGGAAGGGAAGCGTAGGCTTAACTTACTTTTTAGAAAATCCGCCAGCGTCGTGAAGTCGTTTATTTCAACTGCGTTTTCAGACGTAAATGAAGTTAAGTTACCGTTGGACCGCCCGCTGGCGGTGTCTCTTTCTCGTACTTCAACTTTAACTTTCTTAATTCTCTTTTCGGCTTTTGCTTCTCTCGCCTTTGGTGTCGCTGCTGCTGCTGTTGTTGTTGTTGTTGCTTCCTCTCTGTCCTACAGCAGCAAAAGTGCGCATACAAATTAAAAAGAAAGAAAACGCTATTGCTGATAGATAGGGAGAGTCGTCAGAGGGGCAGATAAGAGAGAGGACAAAGAGACAGATAGAAAGGAGACAGCTCTGGTGAGACAGATTCTATTTTGTTGCTTTTTGGTGTTTAGCACCTGGAAAAGGGTTCGGGAATGGTCGAAAGATACGGCGACCCACTCGCAATTACATGCAGATGATTTCTGTACGAATCTGTGGGACATTTCTGCCTGCGGTCCCCCCGGGGACGGCCGAATCTCCAGGCTAATTCGAATCTTTGAAGCTAATTCAGATTAAGTGTTATTTTGGGGTCCTCTGCAGCTGGCTCCGCTAATGTGCCTGTGCCCCGAAACAGCAGGCGATGCTCTCAATGCCCTCGTCTGTGTTAATGTCTCTGTGCAGGTGTGACAATAAGTACAGTTAATGACTGGCCAGGCGACAGCTGAGTGTGAGTGCCGTTACTTGTACTCTTGCAGAGGATACTTGAGGAAAGGCATCAGCCACAGGCTGTTGGGGACGACTAAAATCGGATCACTATATCATGCCTCTGCCATGGTATAAAAGTCTTCATTGAAACGATCGCCTCGCAGGCGTATCTATGGCTTCAGACTACAAAACTTTAGCTCCTTTATGGTTTTACTTTAAAGCGAAGTGCCAACCATCTTCTGAAATCATTTTGTGGCTTTCAACTTACATTTTTGGCTACGGATATTGCGCCAGCTGTTGGCAGCTGCACTTTAGGCCAAAAGGCAAATACAGCTAATTTGGTCAACTGTAAAATGCCACGGGGCTAGGTAATATTGGGTATAATATCTCTGGCCAAGGCCAGAACAGCGATGGGAGAGCTACGATAATAAATAAGAAGCGTTGGTTCCCCTCGCTGAAAGGGAAGCTGGGGGAGCACTTAATAGTTGCCTTGCGTATCCATTAAGTAAACATGACTCGCTAAGCTGGCGATGGGGCATGGAGAGAGTGATAGGGAGGTAGGTAGAGAGAGGGAGAGTGGGGCTTGTAAGTGTATAAGAACTGCGGCCACGGCCACACTGTCAATATATGTACAAGGGGGGATTGTTTGGCTTTAGAGCCTGTACAGAACCGAAAAAGCAACATCAAACGACGGGAACAGCCGAAAAAGGAGGAAGACAAACGAAACGAATTTTGTGTGTCTTTGTGTGTTTCTTTTCTTCTTCTTGTTATTATCCTTGTTGTTTGGCGCACGAATGCGTATAAACGCTGAATATTTAATAAATGCAAAAAGGGATGTGATACACACACACACTCGTGAGTGGGTAGAGTTTCCGTGCACACAGAGGCCTGGCCGCCTCAGAGAATTGCTTTTGCTCATTCGCTGATTATAGCTGATGGGGCAATGGGGCAGATCGGGGAGCGGCGGCAATGTTTTGTAGTGGAAACTGTGGGGCACAAAATGCTTTTGATATTTTATTCATGCTTCCCCAAAGCTCCCATTGCTGTCAATTGGTATTAGGACATCATAATTTATTGATGAACGAGAAGCAAACGCAGCAAAAGCAGCCAATAGAGGCGCGGGAGCAACGACAACAACAGCAGCCACTGGGGAGTATTGTAAGCGGCTTAGACCATTCGGCCGATCCGGAAATCGTTTATAATTCGCATTCAGTGTCGGTCGTTTCGATTCAAAGCCAAAGAGTCAAGCGCACAATTAACGAGCATTCAGCACACCGAGACGCACACAAACGAACCGTTGCCTCACTCAATGGATGGCTCACACGACGTATACGTAATATTTGGGATCTACAAAATCAACCGCCAGCACGTGCACTGTCCTCGCCGTACTTGATTCAACTGCCACATGCCACAGAGCTGGGATGCTGTCTGGCCTGCCGACGATTCGGACTCCGATTTCGGAGCGATTTGTGCGAGCTGCATGCAACTCGTGGCACTGGGCCACTGGCACACGCAGCCAGCGCGCAGGCGCGGTGAGAGTCTCCGTTACCCACTCCATTGCACGTGCCACTGGGACAGGACTACTCGTAGTGTGAAAATGTTTCAGAATTAATATGCAGAAGTGTCCCTGATGACGGCGCCTAGACGGGACTTGCCGTCGTCATTGATAGATTGTCGTAATGAAATGCAAATTACTTGTCAATAATTTTCTGACAACTTGCAGTTCTGGGAGTCCTTTTGGAGGTAAAAGCCCCCCATCTATGCTAAAGCTAGTTATCAATGGGGTTAAATGATGTATGGGATGGGCAGGGTGCCCCACCTCCGGAGTAAAAGTCATCAGATAATGGTCGGAGAGCTTAAATAGCCCTTGAAACGTTGTCCTTTAATGGGAATAGTTTCCCAATTAAATTCGGCGAATCCTTGGCAAGAGATAATCCAAAAACAAAACAAAGGTAGCTGGACAAAGAGACGTCCAATTGGCATTTAATTAATGCTCGAGGCATATTTATCCCCCTCATTCGATGCCGGATATCGGGTCAGGCCTAATAATTTGTCCCCTTGTGGCTGGTGTCGAACGAGTCAGAGAGATATTTATTTATGCGAATTCCATGGGGCAAGCTCGTAAATCTCTTGCCCCCTGCGCGACTGCAGATGCATGGCCGAGTATTTATGGCAGCGACTATTACACACTTTATTATTATTATTAATATCGGTCCCCGTTCGCGTACAATTGAGTGGAGCACGGCTGCCAGTGCCATAAATTGCGTTATCCCTCGGACGTGAACGGGAACTGGGGGGGACATCGACACAGGGCATCCACGTGGCGGATCGCTGACGGATTTTAATTGAATTCAAGCCGCAACAGAGTGTGGAATAAATCAATTCGATGCGCCGCGTGGAATGCGAAAATATCCACGGATTGTATTGTCTAAGCAAATCGATAATTGAGGGCAGAAAATTGCAATTTCATTTCAATTAAAACAGGAGTGGAGCATTCTTCCAACTGTTGGCAGCTGGACCCATCGATTGAATAAACTGATGGAAACCACCTTTGACATTGTACCGTTCAACCATTTATTGAAGCTTGAAAATCGCGTTGCATGTCTTGTGCATATTTATGTGAGGGAACAGCTGCGTTGCCTCATCCCCTACCCTGCCACAAATTCTCAGAAGGCGTGGGTTTTGGATTCAGATTTGCATTCAAAAGGTTATCGTAGTCCACGCCTATGAGTTTTGCATCTGGCGATAGGTGGCTGCCCATGGGGGCATCGTGTTCGCAGCTCCTGACCCGTTCGAAGCCGCTGCAGAGATTCTTGAAATCCTGATCGGACCCGCAGGTACAATCCTCGGCCGGGATGCGCGCTATCTTGTAGGCGGGTAATTTTTTCTTATACGAACAGCTGTAGGCGCAGACCAGGGTCTGGTAGTTGTAGCTGAAGTGCTTTGCACTGAAAATGGCACACCCAACGCGATCGGCCAGCCCCGAAACAAGCTGCAGGAAGTGTCCTATCTCCTGGCTGAAAGATCAGAATCAGTATCCAGCACAGACACTCCCACAGAACTCCCGCACTCACCCGGCGGCTGACTTGCCCGATATCATGCTCTGGGTATTCGCGTACTGGTACTGCTCGTACCAGGCCTTCAGCTGGGCCCGGACTATCTTGGTGGGGTCCTGGGCGCTGGGAAACTTGTTGTAGGCCATGTTGTAGCCGGTCCCTGCATACTCCAGTGTGGTATGGCATTTGTGGACCGGCCCAATGGAACAGCGATAGGCAGCGAATCGGGCCACCTCGGCCAGTTCTTCGTGCCACTGCATCTTGAGCATGCGGCCGGACGGGGGCAGGCCGTGGAGCTTGCCCCTGGCCACGATGTTGCGGTAGATGTTGTGCTGCTTCACAATAAAGTTTCGCATATTCTGCGATACGTTGAACATGTTCCCAACGCAGCCCTCTATAAATTGCTGCAGAAAGGATACCGCGGATACTTGGGAGGCACTCCAGCACGAAGCAGATGAGTCTTACCTTATTGCTGTTGCAGCCAATGTGCTCTGCGCCTCCACAAGAGGGCAGGGCGCAGTAGTCCGACTTTGTTTTGCTCGGAGGCTTTGCCCGGCTACAGTACTTCGGCTTCTTCTGGGCACGGACCTCATTGAGGGCACATAAAAACAGCAGTCCGGCTGCGTACCACAGGATGGAACTGCAGATCTTCATATTCGGATCGAAACTAACTGGAACGAACCGATGAACGTGCAAAGAAATACGAGTAATTTCAGCTGGATCTTAAGCCCCATCGAATCCGATTCGATTCGTTTCGATGGCGTCAATCAGGCCTGAAGGTTCTGCCACCATAGCCGTACCCCGTATGGATCAATTTTGTATTCTTTATTTGATCTGTCTGTCGTTAAGGATGCCTCGCTGGAGTCCTGAACAGCTGGTGCTTCTTTAGTGTTGTCTGATTCAGTTTAGTCCCTTTCTTTGCTCTCTGTTCCAACACCTGACGGTAGGTAGCCTTCCTGGATCTGGCCCCGGGCTTCGATTGCAAGGCAAATTTCCTGTAGCGAGTGGCTATATCCTCGTCGAGAGGGTAGTCCTCTGAAGCGCTCTTTGGATCTGTTAGGTCACAGCAGTCGGACTCGTCGCACATGAGATGCTCTCTCTCGGAGCACAGGGACTGGTAGGCGTCGTTGACGCCAAAGCGACAGTGTTGTCCCGGGTAGTCGCCCGTGGGGTAGATGGGAAGGCAGTCGTGGTAACAGCTGTAGATGCACTTCGTCATGTGGTAGGTCCAGCCATCTTTTTTATACAGCGCCATGGCACAGCCCAAGCCTTCGACCGAGGCTGTGATCATCTGCAGGTAGTGTCCCACATCCTGTCTGGAGCTCAAACGGTCAGAGAGGAGGGGGGCGGGTTTTTGAAGGCAGCACACTCACTTGGTCAGATTGTTGCCACCCAGAATGGTGGTTAGATCCACGTATATATATTCGTCCTTCCAGGCCCTCAGCTGGGATCGAAGCACCTTCAGATGGTCCTGATCGCCGCGGAACTTGCTGTAGGCCTCGTTCTGTCCCGGCATCTGGTACGAGGGCGACCCGAAACAGGTGTGTCGCTCCAGCTGACACTTCATCACACTGAGCTCTGCCAGCCAGGCCAGTCGCTCGTCCCAGCGGACGGTTAGGGTGCGTCGCGATGGAGGCAATTTGCGGAAGGTGCCACGCGCCACCTGATTCCGGGCCACGTTGTGCTCCCTGACGATGAAGCGGGCCAGCGAGTTGTCAATCCTCAGCAGCCTTGCGCCCGGCGGACACTTTGCGCTGTCGAATGCCTGACAAGGATTCGGGGATATCAAGCGAGGACAATTGATGGGTCTGCAGACTGCCACTCACCCGTGAATGCTTGCAGGCCAGGTGGGGTCCCGTGCCGGCAACGCAGACATCCTCTCCGCAGTAGTCGAAGACTTTCTCATTCTTCGCGGAAACGCAGCAACGACAGAGACAGACACAGATCGAGATCCAAAGACAGAGAACTCTGCGGGCTGGCCACGTCCCATCCATGGTAACTGATGGCTGACGGACTGTGACATGTTCCCCGCCGCATTCCATGTCGCTTTCGACCATGGAAATCGCCATTTTCCGCAGGTGGCGTGTCGGGGTAAACAAATTGCGACTGCAATTGCCTTCGCTCGTCAATCTGACAGCATGTTTCGTGTGTCGCACATCTACGTTGGGGTCCTTGCCCTCGTCCTTTTCTGCCTGTTCTCCTGCGCCCACGGCTGGGACTACTGCCAGGAGCATTGGTGCTCTCGCCCAGCCCTGCAGCACGTGGCCTGCAACAACAACGGCGTACGTGGATGTCTTTCTGGCCCCCCTCGAGTTGCACCCAACTCTAGCGCTCTCTCTTTTTTCCGCAGAGTCTTGGAGCGAAGTGCAAGAGCGGCGCCAGGCTGATACCAATGAGTGCGGATATGCAGCAGTTCATCGTCCGCCAGGTGAACCTCTACCGCAATCAGGTGGCCTCCGGCGCATTTAGAAAATGGCCGCCCGCCGAGCGCATGGCCACCGTCCAGTGGGACCCCGAGCTGGCAAAATTGGCAGAGTTGGCGGTCAAGCAGTGCCACCTTGCCACCGACAACTGCCGCAACACCAGGCGCTTCAAGCACGTAGGCCAGATCGTGGGACACGTCATCTTCAGCGCCAATCGCTTCAGCCAACGCCAGCTGATCGGCCACAAGATCTACAATTGGTTCAATCAGTACAAGAAGGCAACAGCAGGGCTCGGGCTGGGACTCCGCAAGGACATCACCAGCTTCCGCCAGCTGATCCAGGAGCGTGCCACCCACATGGGCTGTGGCGTTCTCCAGCAGCAGCGCCACCGCTGGCAACAGCAGTTCATTGTCTGCAACTTCGCGCGGCAGAATGTGCACCACGAGCCAGCCTATGCCATCGGCCACAAGGCGGCTGCCGGCTGCCAAACGGGCACCAATCCCCAGTTCCCCAATCTGTGTGCCGTGGAGGAGCCCTTTGATGTGAACGCCGTGGATCGTTATGTGCCAAAGCCGACGCTTCTCATCAAAATGAAGTACAGTGAGGACGGCATGGAGTCAATTTCAGCCAAGTCCAGGCCCAAGCGTGCCTAAACATTTGACTGACGTTCTATTAGAGGATTCTCACTCAAATACACATACGTGAATACCCATCCGGGGTAATCTATTTCCGACTCTTTAATCGATAAGGGGTCCAAGTCCATTCAACAGCGTGACTAAACACCCAACCACAGAACCAGTTCTTCCATCGATTTGGCTATAGATCACCTCTTTGGGGGCTGGGGTCTTTGGATTCACTTAAATATTCAATTGTTTATTGGGTTATATACAAAAACAGTCACAGAAAAGTTAATAGGAAACCTCAAAGTCCTCAAGACTCCACGTCTAGCTCAGGTTCTCCTGGCGATTGGGTTCGATGGTGACGCGGGCATAGGGACTGCCAGCCCCGACCTTCCGCCGCATGGTGACGCCTTGATGCGGTCGCAGACCCATCACAATCAGGTAGATGCCCACGGCGCTCAAGGCGATTAGGGTGAGCACGACCACCCCGTAGGCCCAGCGCGGCCAGGTGTCGCAGCTGAAGGCGTCGTGGCGGGCCGAGGACAGAAGCATGCCGCGGATGCGCGACGGCTTGAGGCAGCGTCCGCCCGTCTCAATCCAGAGCTTCTTTAGCCAGACCAGCTCGCAGTCGCAGTGAAGCGGGACACCGTTGAGATCCAGCTCGGTAAGCTTTGCAAAAACCGGCGAAAGCGAGGAATTAAAAGAGCGCAGAAGAGTCCCACGAAATGACATCGTACGGAGGGAGGGGACCTTTGGTAGCGGACCGAAGGCGTCACCGTCGAAGTGGCTCAGGCGCCGGCTGTTCTGAAAGCTAATCGACTCCAGCAGCTCGAGGGGAACCAGAGCATGGGCAGCCACTCCCTGCAGCAGGGACATGTCCTCCACAAACAGCTGCCGGACTTGGGTGAGATTGGCCGTATCCTCGGGCAGCAGCTGCTCCAGCAGATTGTCGCTGATGTCGAAGTGGAGCAGCGTCTGCGGCAGCTGGCCGGGCACGCGCTGGAAGAGATTGCGCCTCAGGGAGAGCTCCTTGAGGGGCGCCCCTGACGGTAATCGGAGCTCATTCAGTTTGCAGGCATCGAGGCGGAGAGTTGTCAGCTTCCAGTTGATCCCCAGGACCGTGTACAGATCTCCACTCTGCAGCTGCGTGGTCTCGTTGAGCTTCCGGTTCCAGGAGAGGTCCAGCGAGGTGAGCACCAGCAGGGGGGCAAACAGCTGTGCTGGCACCGAGTGCAGGTTGTTGTGCGCCAGATCGAGCACCTGCAGATGGGGCAGACCGGCGAAGGTCTGCGCCTCCACCTGCGAAATGCTGTTCCAGCCCAGGTACAGCTCCCGCAGGCTGCTCAGCTTGGCGAAGTTGTTGGCACTCAGTCGGCTGATGTTGTTGTGCATCAGGTTGAGCTGGTGGAGACTGTCGCTGTTGAAGACTGGCGCCTGGTCGAGGGCGTTCCACGAGAGGTCCAGCGTGTCTATGTAGAGTGGCAGCACCTCTGAGAGATCCGCTGTGCGGTACTCCTTGTAGCTGCAGTCGATGCGCAGGGCTCTCATGCCCCAGGGCGCGGCACTCACATTGTTGCACTCGCAGGAGAGCCGCGAGTCGCGCTTCGACTCTGGGTAGCAGAAACGATCCAGTGCATCGGCGTCGATGTTCTCCGCCCCACAGGCGGACACCAGTACCACCAGCAGCAGGAAAAAGGCCACCCTTGCCCTGCTTCTACACGTATTTCTGACTGCGATTCTCCCCATGATGAAGGTTCTTGGCACACTGAACGCTACGACTAATGCTCTAGAGCTTCCAGTTCCCTTGCGACACCCACTTCCATATCTTATCTTCAGGGGGGAAAAGCTCGCTGAGTAAATTCGTTCGATTTTCCCATAAATTGCCGAGTATTTCCTTACGAGTTAGTCACTGAAATTCATTTGGGTATCGTAGTAAACAGAAAAAATTGCCGGGGCAACGAGCGGCAAAGGCATTTGAATCTTTGATAAGATAAGCAGAGCTTTACCCCTTTATCGTGCTCTCTCGTCGCATTTGTTTCATTTGAAGCTTTTTGTTATCTCCTGCTATCTGTTTCATTAATCATTTCCAGCTCTCATGCGTGGGAGTTAGGTCTGTGACACAGATCCACAATATTGATGGATTTATAAAACCCTCATTTCACACACAGAAAAGTGTTCCCCCACTCTCCAGCTCTTCTGTTCTCAGAGAACAGAACAGAGCACACATTTTATTTGAAAGTCTTTTCGGCAAAAGTCATGCCTAATCCCGGACAGACGCGGATGGCGGAGACTTAGTCGTGTCTAGCTCATTGCATCCCAGGCTCAAGGCTCAAGGCACCAGTCTACAGTCTCAAGTCTCAAGTTCAAATTGTAATTTCGCTCAATGGCATTGGATGGGATTTGGCATGAGTCCTGGATGTGTTCAGCGGATGTATTGTACTTATGTCTACTCTAAAGTTGAGTGTTGTGGTTCTTGTAACCTGCCATGGGCTGTGTCGTCGTTCGAGCTCCTTCAAATATTCCAACTGTTACAATTAGGTTTTGTATAAAGAACCCTCCTTCTCCTTCTTTAACGACACCAGCAGAGTATTTTCGTGCCGCTACTCCCCAATGTTGGTTCTTTTCCTACATTTTTCGATTGCTTCGACTATTCTGACAATCGTCTGGGCCTTTGGCAGACTTTCCGTCGTGTCAATGGCGAATTGATGAGGCTTACATAACTCCACACACTCGAAAGGCACACACACACACACACACTGGCATAGATATTTGCATAAATTAAAGACTTTCAAGTCGAAGAACTCGAACCGCTTTCCTTTTTGACTTTCCTGTCATAGAGTGGGGGGGGAAGAGCAAGGGCGGGCGGTCGACCAACACATGTAAAGCATTTAATGAGCTGAGGAGCCTGCAGCTCTGCGCGTGTGTGTGTGTGTAATTGTATTGAATATGCCAGGCACATGTTCATGTATGTGTTTTGGGGTTCGTTTTCAGCCCTCAAGTCATTATTACCAGCAAAAATGTATTTTTAACTAAAAACTCATTAATTACATTGAGAAGGGGCTTAGCAGTGCGTGTGTTCTGGGATGGCGATGGCGATGGCGTGTGTGTGTGTCTGGAATAATTACGCCATTACGAGCAATTTAATTAAAGCCCAATTTTCGCACATCTGCAATAATGGATAATGGAATTGTTAATTAATAGGCCAAATCAAAACCGGACCGTAGCCATCAATTCAGGTCGAAATCGGGAGGGGTGGCTGTGGCTGTAGAGCCTGGAACGGTCAAAGGTAGAAGTGCTGAGCAATTTCCGTTTGGGGGTCAGAAATTGAAAAATAAAATCCGCTCTAAACGTGCCGAACATGGCAATCGCGGCCGGGCCTGGTCGGTTCTGTTCTGTTCTGTTCAGGCGGCCATGGGGCCTCTCGGTGGCAGAATATTTATGAAAATTTTAATATTAAATTGTTTTCTGATGCGCTGCGTGGCGGATGGAGAGGGAGTGCGAGTGCGAGTGCTGGCAATCAATGGCGGAAAATGGAATTTCCCACTGCTGAACATGCAATCATTAAAAGCGCTTGATTATCCGCAGGCAGGCAGGCAGCAGGCAGGTCAGGATGGCATTGTCCCTCATCGTCTGTATCCTGCAATTGACTTTAATGATGTCCTCCCTCCATCAGTCCCCCAGGACTAACATCCGACTGTCACAGCAAACTGTCATACTCTGTGGATGTGTGGCTGTTCGGGGTGTTGGGTGTCTGTTGTTTGCTCGTATGACAGTTTATGGCGCCCTAATTGAATCGCTTGTCATCCATTTGTCTAATAATGGCGCATTAATTTGGTATGATGCTAAATGCGTCCAGGCTGCAGTTTCCGCTTCCGGGCAATCATCCAAGATGGAGAGGATCCTCCTCCTTAGCCTGATTATGTCTGGATGTGCTAGGAGCGGTGAGCCATGCGGCATGCAGCAGTGGTGGGCACGTTCTGTATGCTAAGCATTTCAGTCATGCTCTTTTAACTCGGGGCCACACCGCCACAAAGTATGCAACAAAAGCATGCAGCAGACACGCGCACACACACACACACACACACACACACAAACACAACGCATCCACACACACATCTAATTGCCTTTGAAAACGTTTCAGTCACGCAATTTAAAGCTCGTTATTTAAGCAGGCATGGCATCGGCCGAATCCATTAGTTGGGCTTGAAGGGCTCACATTAACTTGGCTCAGACACACACACACACATGCAATTTCTCCTGTGGTTACCATTTGGGCTCGCCCTCATTCCGTTATCCTCTTTGCTGCGCTCAATTAAATCGACAAATTTAAAGAAAATTATTGTCTCTAATGGGCAGACGTGCCCACAGAATGCGACCTTCGACCGCAGCACCCCCCTCCCCCCCTGGCTGTAGGGGATGCCCAATGCTGTGTATAGATCCCACCGATAACAGTTGAATAATGAACAAATAATGGCTGGAAACCATCTTGTCTGCTCAGATATTAAGTATACGCAGGGGACCACAGCGGGGAAGGAGATGGGAAGAATGACAAAGCAAACGAACAATGGAGAGCACATAGAACAAAGGAAAACTAATCAAATTACCAGTGAAACCATACGCAATGTAGTATAAAGGGATGCCTGGTAATATTAGTATTCAATAAATGTTGCTTTCCCTTCTAGTCTTCTTTTGTTTCGCCAACAACCCCTGTTGCCCTATTAAGGCCAGATGCAAAATTCAAGTTGCAGTTTTGAATAATCATTTTCAAACTGTTCAAATTTCAGGCTTTTTGCCTGCAAATTGGAACTCTTTCACACGAGACAAGCCATCTCCCAGGCAGCAGACATTGTCGTTTCACTCACAGCATGTGTTGGCCGGGCCAACAAGCGACCTGCTAGTCATACGGAGTGTTTGCTTTTCTTCTTTCATTCCCCTTTTTTTTTTGCCCAAGTGTTGGTTACATGTTTTGTTGGTTTTAGAGGAGGACAATGGCATCTGCTGGTCTTCGGTTTCGGCCCTTACTGCTGCCAGTCCAATTTGATTTGTTTGCTGCGGATACATTCTTGTACATTGCTCTATGGCTGCACTAATTAATTTTAGCCCCTCTGTGCTCCCAATGGGTCAAAGCCAATAACTCGGTCAGATAATATTGCATTGCGATGCATTGATTGAAACTCAATTTGGGCTTCGAGGCCATAAATGTCGGTTTTAGTTGCACATCCCGCCTCAGAAGCTATCGGGCTGTCAATCCTGGTTAGCCGTAGGTACGAGTACACGTACACGAGTGGGTCTGCTTCAGCCAGAAAGCTGAAGATTTATTGCCTGTTGCCAAAAGCCCACAAAATTAATGTACTTCACAGTTGAGTTTAGCTGGGGTTCGACATCGACAGCGACATCGAGAGCGACCTCTGTGCGGAGAAAGAAGAGTGTAGAACGGAGAGTGTACTGTTGTCCTTAATGAAGTTGTTAATGCGAGTCTGGTGCTGTCCTGTCCCGGCTCGTTCCTTCCTGCCCCATATGTGGCATGTACTTTCCCAGCATTCCGCAAAATACACACGAAAATCTAATAAGACGCTTATGTCTGCTGTCGTTTCGGCTGCCGTTTCACACCCTTTCCGCCCCCACATTTCCCAGCATAAGCCATTAGCCAGCACCGACAGAACACACCGAGGAGTAGCTGGGACAGTCATCTTGTCTGTGCCTTAGCTTGTTTCTTTGTAATTTTATTACCCGGCTTTTTTACGGTCAGTCTCTTGACTGGAAGTGGAAGCCCCCACTAGTTCTTCATCTTTTGCCTGGCCAGCATTTATTTTTATGTCCTCCACTTGATTGGATCGTAAAGCTTAGTTTCTGGGCAATACCACTCGGATGGGACCCAATCATAATCGAGGACCGAGAAAGAGTTCAGCTTGAATCTCTCAACTGAAGTCATTAATTGTCCGTTCTGGCCAGGTCACAGAGGCCCTCTAGAACGGGAAAATTAAATTACTGTCCGGCAGAAAAAGTGTACTGAGGACTTTATGCCCCTGTCTGCAGCTCTTTGTTTCGGAAGCAGCAGCAGCAGCAGAAGAAGAGGGACACGAAACGAAAGCCAGACAAACTGCAGCAGCTCGTGCAAATAAATGAATTTTTCATTTATATATTCTGTGGAGCGAGTGTTGGCAAAGGGAGGCTGGGGTGGATCGCGGCACGCATTGAGAGCTTGCTTAATTAGATGAAGTGAAAGCGAGCGCCCCGAAACAATCGCAACTGTCATCCTGGGCCTGGGAAGTGGGTCAACGGCTGCCAAGCCAGCCCGTGGCTGTGGGCCATGTCCATGTCCTGGCATATTTTAAGAGCGACACAATACAAGGCAGGAGGGGAGAGGAGCGGCCTGCATCAGGCAATAAGTGCAGTCTAATTTGATTACATGCTCAAAATCTGAAGTCCTCCAGATAACAAAAGATGCAGCACCAGCCCCAGTTCCAGCCCCATCCCCAGCGACAGCCAGAGCTGAAAGAAGCTGAGGTACCCCGTGTGGCGCCTCATACGCGTGCACGCAGGAGGCGAAGGATGTGTGTAATTGACAGCGCAAAGCACACTTGACAGACCCTCTCTTATTCACACTAGTACACTGGCACACACACACGAGCACGCCCCCCTCCCTCCCATGTAGACATGACCCTGGAAAGTAGGCAACACTTGTCGGTGGGCGGCCTGGCACTCTCGAACCTCTGAGATTTGTGTTTACGGGTAAAATGAATATTAAGCATCCGCCTCGT